GTTGATTATATTATCACATTTATATTTTTTTGGAGTGCCACAAAAAAGCCTGGTGAGGCATGTCAAGGTGTTGTTGGGCATACGGTAACTCATTGAGTGCCTGTGTGTCTGTACCAATGCCAAACATTCCAGGGTATGTAAACTTTCGATCAGGGCCATTTGGATGATTTCTGTTCTTATTAAGGGCTCATGCACACTGACTTTTATTTTAACTCCCCTAGAAGCCAGCAGTGGTTTGGCCCAAAAAATGCTTGATGCCTGTAAAAGTGTGTACCGTGTTTACAAGTGTTACCTGTGTCAAACGCTTGGGCATTGTGATATTCTGGGGGATTACTCTCACATTGGCGGCATGTGAAATCAAAGTCAGTCTTTATTTTTCAAATAATGATAACAAAAACAGCTTTCTGGCAGCAAAAAGAAGTAAAACTGTCCCAGCAGCGGGATAATAGTCCTTCACACAAAAATAATCTCTGTGGTTTATCGCCATCCACAGAGTAGGTCATTCCACAGCATTGTCACTCCAGGGCTGTGAGGTCGCCCTCCTCTGAGGGTCAAACACAGCGCTTAGCCACACCGGCAAAAATGGCTCAGTAGTTCAGGAGCAGACACTTCCTCAGCCATGTGTCTTCCTACACACAGCTCACAGGGCCCCCTACTAGGTGAGGGCTACGCCCTAAACATACCTCTCCTCCCAGATGAGGCTACTAACCTCTCCGCTCCTGAGGTTGGAGACTCATCCCTCCCATTAACTCTTAAAGTCTCCAGACTCCAGGGACCCACAACAAAATAAAAAACACAGGAAAAACTGCTAACCAATTTCCCCTCTTGACGGCTATGACTAAGAACCTCTCAAAAGGAATAAACATAACGCCCATCCACGACGCATCCTTGGCTCCTTCTAGAGCATTAATTAATTTCATTGGCCAGAATAGATAATTTATTTATGGCCATTGAAATAAATTAACACTCAAGTGCAAAACATGCCAAGCGTTTAGGCATATTTACACATATTTAACGGCATTTAAGTGTCTTTAGGTACATCAAGAGTTTTTCAGTCAAACCGCTGCTGCTCCACAAAACGTTGCTAAAGTCCTCTGTGTGAATGTCCATATAGCATGACATGCAGGGGAGTTCAGAACAGTAAATAAAATTCCTGATGCCCCTAGGAGCAGCTGTAAAAAAGTCCAGTCTGCATGAGGCCTTATGATTGAAACAATTACAGTATGTGATAATAAATGGCTTGATATGATCACTATCCTTAGTCCTCATGCACACTTGACATTTTTACAGCGGCTGTTTTTGGCTTTTGACATTTTTTTTTCTACAGCCAGTAAACCCCCCCAGCATGTTATCATGTAATCAACCTTTTTTTGGTGGAGACGTTTTTTTTGGCTGGAAAAAAAAACCCAGGACTAGTGGGTTTCTAGAGGAGTTTTTTAGCTGTAAAAAAATGCTCTAATGCTGAAAAATGCTGCAAACCTACATTTTTGTAGGTTTTTTTGACCCCCCCCAAAAATGTTTTTTTTTTTGGTAATAAAAACCGCTAAAAACCACAGATGTGGAAAAACGCCACTAAACGCCAATGCAAAAACGCTAAAGAAGCTGAAAAACTCATGTTTTTAATGCGACTTTACACAGCCAACGTTACTAGCCTTATCAAAACGTCCCGGGTGCATGAGGACTTAAATAAAAGACAGGTTTTTGGCATGATCAGTCATACTTAAAATATCAGTGCCAAAATGTCATGATTTCTGCCAGGGTATGAAAACTTTTGAGCACATCTGTATTTATAGTGTATATATACCTATATATATTCAAAGGATGTACACAAAAAGGGTGTCCACCTGTTAATTTAAATGTGAAGTCAACCCCTTTTTTTTAGAAAGAGAAAAGGTAGCACAGGAGTGGGCAACCACACCACAAACCAACCCCTTTTTTTAGGTTTTGGATAAAGTAGGGAATTCTTAGGGAAATTTCCTGTTCTACAAATGCAATAAATTGAGGAGTTCTCTTCAAACTGATCAGTATTCCTATCTTGGGGTGGGCATAAGGAGAGGTATCCCCATGGGAGTATGTTCTCGTAGGCCACTTTCACACCTTTCCTGATGATTAGCCACGGGAGGCAGCCCCAATAAAAAAAAATGGCAGGCAGCCGAATCCTGCAGCTAATCATGGCCGCTTGCATGTGATTGCTCATGGAGTGATCATCTACGAGTGATCAGCCCTGGATGCAGACAGACTGTGTGATCGCTACATAACTGATCATATGTGAGTGGCTGCAATTAGCTGCGGGAAATGTTAGCCTCCCATTGTATAATGGAATCCTCCTGCGCACTAAGAGTGAATGTAGCTAGTTATGGATAAGGCTGCTCACACCAGCACCTTATTACCTATAAGTGAAAAAGCTAAAAAATGATACAAAAATGGTGTAGCGCTCTCTTATCAACATGTAAATACTATAATAATAATAATAATATTAAATAGTGATCACATCCCTTATGGAATATCCAAGTGAAAAAGATGAAATCAGTAAAAAACTCAGTGAATATATAACATAAACCAATGGTCTCCAATAGACCAATAGTGATACAACTATACAAATTGAAGTGCTAATTATTCCAATGGAGATAAGTGAAAAAAAAACTTGAAAATCAAGAAAATGTATAAATGGTGAGACACACATGTGACCCCAGCACTGGGGGATAAATATATCAATAATAGTGAAAAAATTGCTCAGTGCTAAAAACACTTCAAATACTGTGTACAATACAAGACTCACATATACAACCTAAAGTGGATATTGATAATGATGAAAAGATAATGGAAAATGAACATATAAATCCCCTATATAAATAAAAAAACAATATATGTAGTACTAAAAAGTCCAACAAAATAATTGTGACACCAGTGTTCCAAAAACATGCAGGTGATCCTGTGCGTTGCAGCCTCTGGTGATAAATCCAAAAATAGCTAAATTGGCTCCTCACCTCCTTACCGTGACCCTAAAAGGGCCTAATAGCTTTTGGGATCACTCCTGGACCCTCCAAGTACGGATTTCTCTTAACAGTATCCTCCAATGCAGACCAAACCTCGCATTAGTTAAATGCATGTAAGCTTTTCCAGGTCAGGATCACCTCCAAACTCCCCTTTGGCTACAATACGTGTGACCAGCTCCCTCAGAATCCATACAAAGAGAGAACCTCCATAGAGTAATATTGTTTATTATTAAAAGTAAAAGGCAATATAAACCATTAAACTCACATTCATATAGCAGATAGTAAGCCTTAGAACCTCATGCTATGGGTGTACTTGCATGGGTTCATGTGGAGCACAAAGATGGCGTCCATGCCGGAAATTGCACCACCGCACCGGAAATTACGTCACCACGTCACCTACACGTTGCGTCATGGCACACGTGACTTCATCAGGGTTAGCCTCCCATTGCTTTTAGTAGGCTGTCTCCCCCAGCTAATCGCCGGAAACCCCTATTGGGGTTTTCACATGTAATCAGTGTCAGGCCCTTTCACAGGTATTATTGTGGCCTCTTGCTCTGAGGACAACTCTACGGGTCTATTTATGAAACATTTGCAAGAATAACTCAACCATTTACTCAGCTGTCATAAATAATCCTGTATTTTGCCTAACATATTTTTTTCCTATGATCATCAGTTCTGTCTAGTGGCCATAATGTGGTATTTTCTTGTTTGAGGTATTTCACGAAAATACTGCATTAGGGCCACTAGATGGAGCTTGGGAAATTAACATATTAGGCAAAATATGGGATTATTTGTGAAAGTTGAGCTACTTGAGACATCCGTGCAATAAATTTTACCCTCTTTTACAATCTTGGTGACAATGGTCACCAGTACAAACAGAAGGGTGAATCTCCCCAGTAGAGATACAAACTGGCAACAAGCTGTTCCTACTTAAAGCTAAAAAATGTTTTTTTTTTTTGCTTTACATATACTTTAAAGTTATAGAACATCCCACCTACTCAGTAAATCTATGAAAGGTCCTAGGTGCTACCATGGTAAGAAAGCACTGGTATTGTCATCAAAGTGGATGAGGGTTCCTGAGGCACACTTCCTTGAACCCTCTATCAATTAGAAAAAGTGTAATTTCAACTGAACTGTGTTCACTCCCAGTGTTTGTGCTTCCCAAATAGACTTCAAAGGGGTCCAGTATCTGTTTTGCGGATTGAAAATACTGGTGGGTAATACATCAAATTGCTGGTGGAACTGATTTATTAAGGTTCACCCATCACTACTACCAAATATAGATGTCTGCTCCTAGAGCTAAAAGTCTACTGAAGGTATATACACTATATTGCCAAAAGTATTGGTCGGCCTGCCTTTACACACACATGAACTTTAATGGCATCTCATTCTTAGTCCGTAGGGTTCAATATTGAGTTGGCCTACCCTTTGCAGCTATAACAGCTTCAACTCTTCTGGGAAGGCTGTCCACAAGGTTTAGGAGTGTGTCTATGGGAATGTTTGACCATTCCTCCAGAAGCGCATTTGTGAGCTCAGGCACTGATATCAGACGAGAAAGCCTTGCTCGCAGTCTCCACTCTAATTCATCCCAAAGATGTTCTATCGGGTTGAGGTCAGGACTCTGTGCAGGCCAGTCAAGTTCCTCCACCCCAAACTCACTCATCCATGTCTTTATGGACCTTGCTTTGTGCACTGGTGCACAGTCATGTTGGAACAGGAAGGGGCCATCCCCAAACTGTTGCAACAAAGTTGGGATCATGAAATTGTCAAAACTGTCTTGATATGCTGATGCCCTAAGAGTTCCCTTCACTGGAACTAAGGGGCCAAGCCCAACTCCTGAAAAACAATCCCCCACCATAATCCCCCCTCCACCAAACTTTACACTTGTCACAATGCAGTCAAGCAAGTACCATTCTCCTGACAACCACCAAACCCAGACATATCCATCAAATTGCCAAACAGAGAAGCAGGATTTGTCACTCCAGAGAACATGTCTCCACCGCTCTAGAGTCCAGTGGTGGTGTGCTTTACACCACTGCATCCGACGCTTTGCATTGCACTTGGTAATGTAAGGCTTGGATGCAGCTGCTTGGCCATGGAAACCCATTCTATGAAGCTCTCTATGCACTGTTGTTGTGCTAATTTGAAAGACACAAAGTTTAAAGGTATTTAGCTATTGACTGCTGACAGTTGGCGACTTCTGCGCACTATTCGCTTCAGCATGCGCTGACCCTGCTCTGTCATTTTACGTGGCCTACCCCTTCGTGTCTGAGTTGCTGTTGTTCCCAGTTGCTTCCACTTTGTTATAATACCACTAACAGTTGACCGTGGAATATTTAGTGGCAAGGAAATTTCAGGGATGGACATATTGCACAGGTGGCAACCTATCATGGTACCACGCTTGAACTCACTGAGCTCCTGACCCATTCTTTCACAAATGTTTGTAGAAGCAGTCTGCATGCCTAGGGGCTTGATTGTATACACCTGTGGCTATGGAGGTGTTTGGAACACCTGAATCCAATGATTTGGAGGGCTGACCCAATACTTTTGGCAAGATAGTGTATATATCACTTTCATGAACTGGTTTATGTAAAAGAGGCTTTCATGACATTCATAGATGAATCTCAGCCATTATGGGAACAAATTTAAGCTTCATTTTACTAAGCTGTAATGCATATGTTATGTGCCATAACTAACAATCGTGATTTTCAGGTATGTGATTAGCACTCGTGGGCTCTCATTGTTGAAAATAATGATGGTTTGGCACATAAGGACTGTTATAACTTAGTGAACTGAGCCTAAAGCTGTAAAGTCCAACTTCAAGACATAAAAATCAGTCAGACGCAGCTTTTTTCTCTTTCCTTAAACCAATTTATTTTTTCATTTGCCATTTTGCAGCACCCCCTAGACATGTGCATTTCGTTATTTTCGATAAAAATTGACGAATACATTTGTTTCATTCAACTGAGGTCACATGATAGTTCAGGCCCATGGGGAAATGAATTCAATTTTCAAATTTGTTGGACAATTTGAATTCAAGTAAATTTGTAATTTAAATTGAATTTGTAATTGTCACAGCCAGCCAGTTCAGTTCCACAGTTTAATGCAATTCTTAGTTTCTGCATTATTTATTCCATTGTGTTCAAAAATGTTGAAACCTTCCGAATAGTTTTGAGATATGAATATTGAATCCACCTGAAATATATAGCAATCTTCCAAAAATAAATTGTGAAATTTTTTTAATTCACCTGGACCAACGAATATATGAAACAAATGCCAAATATAATGAAAAGCATCCTGAAAAGGAATCAGTTCAACAAAAAGAATATGACAAAACAAAATTCTTCAGTGAACGAATGACTCTGAAACTAAATGACAATTTCCGGTGTGCACATGTCTAATGCCACCCTTGGTCAGAAAAAGAAACCCAACCTCAACACAGGAAAGGGCTACCTTTACACCAGGGTAGAAGCCTGGCCACAATAGAGAGTCACAATGAAGGGCGCCAGTTACTTTAGTCTTTTTCAGTTTTATTGCTACGTCTTACAGGTAAAGAGGGTTAGGGTTTCAGCTACCTCCAACAGCCAGGGTTTCGCCTCCAAACTTCACCATCCAAGGGGGGTACCAGGATCCTCTGACTGTGCACTCTATTCCTCCTCCTGCAGGACTTCTTCACCTGCCTTTCCACCTTGGGTGCTGTACCCTTCTCAACCAGGCAGGGAAGTTTGAGGATTCTGAAAGGTAGAACCAAATAGGCTTCTGACCTAATCAGCACACCAACTATACACACCTCACCAGGCAGCCTGGGAGAAAGAAAACTCACTAGGCTATTCCCTAAACAATTATATCCTTCCCCAGCATGCACCACATAAACTTCTTAGTGGTTGCCAGAGGGGACATAAATATTCATAAACTCAAGATTGTTACTGTTCCCGATACTATTGCATTAAGTGCCAGCAACATCCAGAGGCAGCAGCAGGAAGCAGCAACAAACCTGAATTTAAAGGAGTACCATTGAAAATCTATTGATTAGCCAGGGTATAACTACTGCCCAGCAAACTAAATTTAATAGCAGCCTCTGCTTATGGCAAAATGGCTACACTTACCTTGACAATTGTCACAATGTTGCAGTCATGTGACCCCATTGTCTTGATGGTACAGAGGTAAACTGTTATAAAATAATGACATATAAGTGCCCACATAATGTCAAACATAAAGTGACAAAGTGCACATATAACTCATGATAAAGTGGTCACAGGTGCGTGAAAGTGAAAAAGTCCTTCCATTAACGAGTAGACGTGAGACTCATAATCCAGGTGACCAATCAAAATTCTTCTGGTGTGACACAAGTGATAAAAATTACGCACTCACCAGATGAGCAATATTATAGTGCATTAAAAAATATATAACTCATGAAGTCAGCTGGATCGTCATGAAAGCGTCAATCTCTGGGTAAGGACCCGCTCCTGGAACATCACTGGCATCTCACACCTCTCATCTGGATGGAATTTTCTGTAGGTGGTGGGGCTCAAATCAAGAGCCCCCCAAAAAGAATGCCAGGATAGAGTAGTACTGCTTCAATAATTTATTAGCCAAAGATATGATCACAATAAAGTGTAAACATGCAGTACTGACCATGCATCTGAAATCCAATATGGCCACCGATTTCGGCGGTAAAATTGGGGATGCCGCTTCAGATGCATGGGTCAGTACTGCATGTTTACACTTTATTGTGATCATATCTTTGGACATTACTTGGCAGCCAGTGACCACTGTCAGAAATACTGCACTTTTAATGCACAGCGTGTTTTAATGACACTTCCTTCATAAAGAGGAATGCATGAGCTGTGTGTGCGTGTGTCTCTATGACTGGCTGTGCAAATAGACATGGTTGGATGGTGCTGGGTGTCATCCAATAAGGGAGAGAGATAGTGCCAACGTAGTCTGGGAGAGTCACAGTGCCATAAATCAGGGAGCAAAACACAGTTTGGTCTCTTCTCCCTGGGTACTGGATGACCTTGTCCAGTCACTGATCTCTGCCTGTGTACAAGGAGAGGTTATGGAGATGGGGAGGGGAAGATGATGAAGAGAGGTTTGTATTTTTTATAATGTATCAGAAAAGAAGTTGGCAGGACTGACACCATGTCCATCAGTGTTATTTTTCTGTACTTGTAGTGCATTTAAAGTGATACTTAAGCTCTTTTTTTTCTAAACTAAAAAAAAGGTTATACTTACCTAGTCTGTGCAATAATATTGCACAGAGCAGTCCCTCCTCCTCTGGAGTCCACCACCAGAGCTTTCCATTCCTCCTCTATGGGGGCACACATACAAGCATGCTCCCGAGCTGGGCTGTGTGCATCTATTGTCATAACCCTTGCTCCCTCCTCACAAGATTTGACTGACAGCAGCAGGAGCCAATTAATCCAGTTGCTGCTTCTGTGTCTGGTAGGAAGAGGGGAGAGCGCAGCTGGAGATGGGCACAGCACTGGATTGAGTGAGGACTCAGTTCAGTGTTTAGGGAGGATTAGGGAGGAAGTGGGAAGGAACAGCTAGTAGAAGGTTTTTTACCTTAATGCACGGGTGTCAAACTGGCGGTCCTCCAGCTGGTTCCAAACTACAAGTCCCATGAGGCATTGCAAGATTGACAGTTAGAGGCATGATGGGACTTGTAGTTTTGCAACAGCTGGAGGGCCGCCAGTTTGACACCCCTGCCTTAATACATAGAATGCATTAAAGTAAAAACATTTTGACTTTAGCACCACTTTAAATGAATAATAATACATGGGGTACTGTGCATGCACTGCAGATACTAATTATGTTTTTGTTTTTTTGGGGAGGGTTTGTATTTTTGTTTTAACATTTCTTTTTAAGGTTATCTTTGAAAGTTGGCCATAGACCCTAGCTGGTAGTTGCATATGCAGCTATGGCCTGGATGTTGAAAAGCGTTTTTTTAGCCAGATCTGGGCTAAGCAGGCCCGAGTGCCTTGTATTTATGCCCATGAAGAAGGGAGGAAAAGAGGAGGGTCATAAAGGAGACTCTCTTGTCTCCAGAGAAACAGTTACAATCAGAAAAGTGTTCCAAGCCTGTCAAATCAGTTCTTGCCCATGCGGAATAGTCAGCTGGTGGTGTATGTTTGTACTGTAGACATGAGATTTGATTGAGCAATGCTCAGTCTCTGTTTATAGTTACCTTGAGATGGCCATAACATATAACCGTGGCATAGCATTAATATAAAAAAATACATTTTTGTATTCCACGGCACCACCTGCCTAGAGTTTGCATGTTCTCCCTGTGCCTGTGTGGGTTTCCTCCGGGTACTCCGGTTTCCTTCCACACTCCACGGACATGCTGGTAGGTTAATTAGATCCTGTCTAAATTGGCCCTAGTATGTGTTTGTATGAATGTGAGTTAGGGACCATAGTTTGTATGCTCCTTGAAGGTTAGGGACTAATGTGAATCTACATTATATACTGTATATGTAAAGCGCTGTGTGAGATGGGGAAACAGCTCTCATTGTTTGAACACTGTTTGTGTGCAGTAAATTATTGTGTGGAGTAAATTAAATGTTCTGGAATGACATTCTGCGGTTTAGCCACAAGATGCCACTGCCTAACACAGCCTCAGACTGCATAGATATTTCTATATTCATGAAGAGGTGGGGTTTTTCACACAGAGTTTAGAGAACAGGAAGGAGAGAGACAGCAGCCATATTTTGAAGGATGGTGAATGCAGGAGCTGTGTGAGCAGAGAATCTGATGACATCCAGGTGTGAGAATATCCCTCAGTAACCAGAGCCGCAGCTAAGTGAAGCTGATTGTGTCCAACACCCTGATCCTGTTCAGAGAAAGGAAGATTGCTGCCAGGAATGCTGATGAGAGCAGAGGAACAAAGCAACATACACTGCGATACCACATGCTTGTTGGAGAGACATTTGTTCTGTTCAGAGTCACTAGCAGATGCAAAGCAGACTCGGGTCGGTAAGATCGTGCACGCACCTCATTTCTGTGTTGGCGCCTAGAGACTGAGTCCAGGCCTATAGTTAGTTAGTTAGGGTCTCTGTTTGTGTCACGCCACAAGTGGTATTACTGATCATTGGAAGGACTCCATAACTTAAAGTGACATTTCACATTGGAGAGCTGATAACATCCCACAAACTCAAGCCAGACTGGCGTTTTTCTCAGAAGGAATGCTCAGGCACGTGCTACAGGACCAGTTATGGGAGAGGGAATACTGTAGATTTGTGTAAGATTGTAAGCTGTTGTGCTGCACCACAAGCTAGCCCATACCGTACACCCATACACTGATTCTTGCTCTTTTAGGGTAATAACAGGTAAGGTGTGGCAGCTTAGTTGTCCCCGCCAGTAGGTAAATTACTACACCTTCTACCTTCATCCATCAGGAGGCGTGCCGTGCTGTGCAGCACAAGGTCTCAGCCTTTGGGCTGGGTGTATGTAAATTT